CTCAGGGCTTGACAGTCCCACGGGGCTGGGTGGGTGGGTGGGGAAACGGCTCCTTTCCCCCAGCAGAAGTGAGTGCAAAGGTTGGATGAAACCGTGCCCAGCGCACTGCAGCCGAATCCCCAGCACCAGCGTCCCTGGGAGACCTGCGGGCACGATGTGCTGGCGCCGGCCTGTCCTCTCCCACTTTTTTTTCGCATGAGGAATCTGGGTGCAAACTCACTTTCAAAACACTGGCTGGACATTGCTCCTTCCCTCCTCCGGTGACGGGCACGTGCTGGCCAGGCTGCCAGTGCTTGGAGGGCACGAGCGTCACCTTCAACCCGTCAGGGCTCACACCCCCTTCAGCTCCCTGCGACGGTGTCCTTGCTGCTCCCCTCACCCTGGGAGAGCGGCTGGGGGGGGGCGAGGCCACAGTGGCCCATGCTGCCTCGTGGGACGTCCAGTGAAACGCCCTTTAGCAGCTCCCCGGTGCAGTTTTGCATTCAAATCCTTTCTTCCAGCTGGTCTGGTCTCATACCAAATTGATGTTTGTGAGAGGGGCACTTTTAAAAGTGTATGTATATAATAATTATAAGTGGATTACACAGCACATCCACGTTGTGCCCCTATCTCTGTAATTCCTGGCTTGGACTGTAGTCACAAAGGGCTGGTGCTGGGAACTGCTCTTGCCTTAGCTTGAGCTGGGGCTGGGTTTGGGGCCGCTCTCAGACGTGGGCCAGTCCAGCACCACCTGCACTGGGTGCCTTGGGAGCGACAGGCGTGCTTGGAGATCCCAAGGATGGGGTGCAGATCCCGAGGATGGGCTTGGAGAGCCTAAAGGCAGGGTGCAGATCCTGAGGACAGTGAGAAGATCCTGAGGACAGGATGGAGATGCCAAGGATGGGGTGCAGATCCTGAAGATGGGGTGGAGATCCCGAGGAGGGGATGGAGAACCTGAGGATGGGGTGGAGGTCCTGAGGACAGGGTGGAGATCCTGAGGATGAGGTGCAGATCCGAAGGACGAGGTGAAGATCCCGAGGATGGGGTGCAGATCCTGAGAGTGAGGTGCAGATCCTGAGGATGGGGTGGAGGTCCTGAGAACAGGGTGGAGATCCTGAGGATGGGGTGCAGATCCGAAGGACGGGGTGGAGATCCCGAGGATGGGGTGCAGATCCTGAGAGTGAGGTGCAGATCCCAGAGATGGGTAGGCATCCCCAGGAGATGGTGGGACTGAGCAGTGCCCGTGCACAGGAGGAAGGTGGCAGTGGATGGGTGGCTATGCGAACAGCCGAGGCTCCACGGGTGTTTTGTGGCGAAGGCTCGGGAGGACCCAGGGCCCGGCTCAAGGCTGGCAGCGCAACAGGACTGCTGGAGGGGACCAGCACGAGCTGCCCAGCATGAGGGAGCTGCAACAGCCTCTCCGGGCAGCGGCTCACCAGTGCATGTTCTCCCAGGGCTTAGCAAGGGCTACAGGAACGCACCTTGGCAGGAGAGGAGCTCTGCGTGTTGCTCACAAGGCAGCTCTCAGTGGAGAAAGCAATCACAGAAGAGCCAAAAAAGGGCATGTTGTGCAAACATTGCTATGTTTCAGGGTGGTGGTTGCTGCTCCGGAGCAGGGAGGTCAGAAACACAAGAGTTGCTCCTTCTCCTGACCTCATCGAAGACGCAACTGTCTGCGGAGCTGTGCACTTGGACCACGGTGCAGCGTTTCCCTCCACGGGCTCCACTGGGGATGTGGGGACGTGTGGTGCCACCTGAGAGCTCGGGGCCATGCCGGAGCGCTTCCCACCGGCTTGGCCGACCCTCAGCCCAGCGCCACGCTCTGCAGATGGTGGACACGAGGTTGGGCCATGAACATCTGCAACCGCGTTTTGTCCTTGGCCACCCACGCCGGAGCGCTTCCCACCGGCTTGGCCGACCCTCAGCCCAGCGCCACGCTCTGCAGATGGTGGACACGAGGTTGGGCCATGAACATCTGCAACCGCGTTTTGTCCTTGGCCACGTTGATTTTGTCAGTCCCCAAACGTGCCCACCCTCCGCGGGCAGCGCCGGTGTGGCGCTCCCAGCCCTGCAGGGTGCAGAAGGGGGCCGTGGGGCTGGGGGGCCGTGGGGCTGGGAGGCCCCGGGGGCTGTCTGGGGAGCGGGGCGGGCCGGGGGC